TCCTTCCTTCCTTCCTTCCTTCCTTCCTTCCTTCCTTCCTTCCTTCCTTCCTTCTTACTAACTTCCTAACTAACTTCCTAACTTCCTTCCTGCCTTCCTTCCCTCCTGCCTTCCTGCCTTCCTCCCTCCCTCCCTTCCTCCCTTCCTCCCTTCCTCCCTTTCTTCTTCCTTCCTTCTGTAAGGTGGTATTGAAATAAACCCATGAAGGGAATGAAGGGGACACAGAATTAAAAGGCACACTGCCCTCTGGGAAGGTCTACTACAGAGACTTTCAATAAGTAAACCCACAGAAAGTGTGCCTGTGGTGCACAGAAGTCAGTGCAGGGAGCCAAGGCAATGCAGGGTAGGGAGCTGTGAAGGCCTCCTCATGGAGCAGTGACAGGTCTGAGATTTGTTAGACCAGACAAGGAACACGGTTACACAGTCAGGAGAAGCAGGTGCCAGGGCTGGAGGAGGCTTTGGGAACATGGCAAAGGGATCCCGTATGGCCCAGTGTCATGATCACACAGGTCTGGTTTTATCACTCAGGACTACTGTCCTAGTGTGTGGGAGTTTACAGCTCCTATTGTACCTTGGAGGAATGGGAGCCTTAGGTGAATTACTAATCATAGGTTACTAACTCTGATTAACATTTAGCAAAGGTTACCTTGGCTGCTCTATGAAATTTGATTAGAGGGAAACTGGCAGTAATATTGGCCTACATGTACTCGAGGACAAAGGGGCTTAGGCACACAGGGCACAGGGAGGACAGGGTAGCCTCCATGTCACTTGGGTATTGGAGATGGGGTAATAATGGAAAGACTTGGGTGAGTTCTAGGGTTTCTGAGAAGGTAAATGAAAAGTTGCAGCAGTTAAGAAATAAGAACAAAAAACAACCCCCCCAAACACACACGCACACACACATGCACACATACTCACATACCCCTTTTATTTAAAAGTAAAACTTATCCAAGAGCTAATGATTGGTCAAGAGCAACAATAAAACACAATTGTCTCAACAGACCAAGAAAAAACATTGAACAGAAATTCAATATTGATTCCTGATATTGTGTATCAGCAAACTCCTAATTAAAAAACAAAACAAAATAAAAACTTGCTGAACCTGATAAAGATCATCTACAAAAACCTACAGCTTTCATCACACTTAATGGTGAAAAAAATGAATGTTTCCTTGCTAAGACCAGGGGCAAGTCAGAGATGACTGCTCTTGCCACGTCTACTCGACCTGTACAGCAAGTTCTAGCCGGTGCAATCAGACAAAGAAGAAGAGCTGTCCAGACGAGAAAGGAGGAAGCAGAACTGTAGGAAATCTTATGGAATCTTCCAAAAATGCTGAAATTACTAAGTGGGGATATGTGAGGTGCTGGAAGGAGAGGCATATTGACTAGTGTGACAATTTCCTGGGTATGCATATAGGTTAACACATAACAGTATAATTTAAATGTTAGCATTTTATTGAATGTCCATTAAACCTCAATAAAAAAGAATAAAAATATTTGCAACAAAAAGAAGACAAATTTTAGGAAAAAGGAGCTAATAATTGGTTGAGGGAAAGAGTATGCCTTATATAAATTGTTGGTTCTGGTTAATAAAGTTAATATTAGAGTTTTCAATTTGAATTTGATATGTACCTCATTGCTTTTTCTTAAAAAGGAAAAGGACATTTAACATGATTTCTTAGTAATAAGTCCAAAACAAAGATTCGAAGCCACTGTAAATCACAACAAGCAAGAAAAGGGCACAGGAATCACACAATTTTAATCCAGCTATCTGTTCTATGTGCCGTTGGGTGGGGTTTAGTGATGTACTGAGTTCTTTAATAGAGCCAATAATAATGGTTAATAGAAAGGATTTTAATATATTTTACACTATAACTCCTGCTTCAAAAGACAAATTTAATTATGAATAGGTAAGAATGATACTATTTCTTATTTGTCTTTTTAGATACAGTAATGAATCTTCCTCTCATCCCTGCCTCCACCTGTGTACGGCCCATGTCCCCTGTAGGTAATTAAGGTTACTAATGCCACGTTTCTCCATCAAGAAAATTTTAAGCAAATGTAAGCAAGCAAAGATATGTATTCTTTATTCCTCTCATTAAATTTTACCCTAATGATGAAATGCAATGTTCATTTTTCTGTACCTTTTCATTTTCATTTAATATCTCCTGGTAGTTTCTTATATCAGCATAATTTAAAATGTCAAAAAGTAAAAAACAAAACAAAACTTTCTCATTTTTATAGCTCTATAGTATTCCATTAAATTATATATGGCATTCTTTTTCCTACAAAGTACTTTGTTGTATTTTGTTTTTGTTTTTATTTTTTTTAATTTATCTTTATTGTGTGAAATAAGCCAGTCAGAGAAAGACAAGTAAAGTATCACATCCTCTCACTTACATGTGGAATCTAAAGAATATAATAAACCGATGAACAAAATAGATTCAGTGACTCAGAAGCATGGAGCAGACTGAGGCATCTCAGAGGGGAAATG